CGGACCCCCACGCGGCTCTCCAGCCGTGGGCACGGGGCCCACGCGGCTCTCCAGCCGTGGGCACGGGGCCCACGCGGCTCTCCAGCCGTGGGCACAGCCTGCACAGCCAAGGGTCTGTGAAATGCTTCAGGTCAGAGCAAGACCCGGTCAGGGGACCTGGAGCCCTGGTCCCAACTTGCACTCATCCCAGAGCCCCAGAGCCTGTTCTTGGGGAAGGAGGGAGTGGCTGCTCTAGGAAGGTAAAGGTTAACCTCTGAGGACTGAGCCAAAATGGCCTCAGGCTTACCAGGAGACCCTTACCAGTCGCTCAGCTCTGTTCATCATACATCCAACCTCAGAGTGACAACCACAGCTTCCAAGGGAAGCCACTGACCTAGCAAAGGGCACTAGAGCCGGGGCAGCAGCCAGTGGTGTGAGGGATCCAGGCCCTTCCCTGGAGCTGTGACTCCAGGGTCAGCCTTGTGGCACATCAACTCCACAGAGTTCAAACTCTGGAACCTCAGATAGAGAGGCACCATCTAGGAGGCTGAGACAGGAAGACCTCTGGAACCCAAGGCTAGAGGCCAGCCTGGGAAACAAAGTGAGACCCCACCTAAAAAATAAATAACTGGGCATGAATGGCTCACACCTATAATCCTGGCTACCTGAGAGGCTGAGATCTGAGGGTCACTGGCGCCAGCCTGGGCAGGAACGTTTGTGAGACTCGTATCTCTAGTCAACCACCAAAAAGCCAGAAGTAGAAGTGTGGCTCAAGTGGCAGAGTGCTAGTCTTCAGCAAGAAAAAGCTCAGGGACAGTGCCTAGGCTCCGAGTTCAAGCCCCAGGACTGGCACACACACACACACAACAAACAAATACCTCAAGAGATGGAGCACCTGTCTAGCAAGCATGAATCCCTGAGTTTAGAAAGGGATCATATCGGTCAATTCCACTAACACGTGGAATTACAATCCTTTCGTACAGCTACTTAAAGCTAATAAAAATATAATTTAAAAACAAAAGCAAAACACCCACCACTAACCTTGGAAGCAGACAGAGCTGGCAAGCGTCTTAGCTTTGGGCTCCTGCTGTGGGGACTCTCCCTGGAGTCAGCGCAGCCAGGGAGGAGGCCCTGCACACTCCGGGGGCTGCTGTGATGGGGGTTCCTCTGCCTTTGACTAGCCTTTGTCTTCTGCTCTGCCAGTGCCGTGAGGTATGGAGGGTGTTCTGGGAGACGCAGTAGGTGCCCGTGCTGTCCAGGTCACTCTGAGCCCTCTTCGAAGCCCTGAGGACGCTTCCCTCCACCCGGTGTCAGGCCAGGCTCACACCGGGCCCTAGAGCTCCTCAGTGGCCGGAGTTTCCGCTCGTGCCACTCTGGCCCCAGGCGCTCCTCCTCTACCTCACCCTGTTGATCACTGGAGAGGACAGCTTCACCTCCCCTCGGCATTCGCTTTGTCCAGTCGTTGAACCTGTCTATTCTGAGAAGCTGCTTCCCAGGGGGAGGGCAGAAGAGGGTGAGTGTTGGGGGTCAGCCTAACAATCAAAGCTTATGCTCAGCCCCCCCTCCCCCCAGCTCCTAGACAATGAGCTTCCAGGTGACAGGCCTGGGCCTGGACAAGATGAAGCTGGACTGTCCGCAGTCCTTCCTGGACATGGAGGAGGCGGAGGAGGTGGAGGAGCAGCAGCTACTGGAGCCAGAAGCATGGAGGACCTACATGGCGCGGCGCAATGTGCTGCGCGAGTTCCTGACCACAGACCTGAGCCCCCACCTGCTCAAGCGCCACCATGCCCGCATGCAGCTGCTCAAGAAGTGTTCCTACTACATTGAGATCCTCCCCAAGCACCTGGCCCTGGGCGACCAGAACCCGCTGCTGCTGCCCAGCGCCATGGTCCAGCTCATCGACCCCTGGAAGTTTCAGCGCATGAAGAAGGTGGGCACGGCACAGACCAAGATCCAGCTCCTCCTGCTGGGGCACCTGCTGGAGCAGCTGGACCGGGGTCACGCGGAGCTGGATGCGCTGCTCGAGTCGCCTGACCCACGGCCCTTCCTGGCCGGCTGGGGGCTGGTGGAACAGCAGTTGGCAGACTTGTCTGCGGTCATGGACAACTTCCTGGCCATGATGGTGCCCGGACGCCTGCATATCAAGCACCGCCTGGTGTCCGACATCGGGGCCACCAAGATCCCGCACATCCGGCTCATGCTGAGCACCAAGATGCCCGTCATGTTTGACCGGAAGGAGTCAGTGGCCCATCAGGATTGGGTCAGCCTGCGCTGGTTTGTCACCGTCCAGCCAGCAGCACCGGAGCAGTTTGAGCTGCGCTTCAAGCTGCTGGAGCCACGGACACAGCAGGAGTGCGCGCAGTGCGGCCTGGTCCCCGTCGCCGCCTGCACCTTCGACGTCCACAACCTGCTGCCCAACCGCACCTATAAGTTCACCATCAAGAGGGCCGAGAGCTACACGCTGGTGTACGAGCCCTGGAGGGACAGCCTCACTCTGCAGACCTTGCCCGGGCCTCGCAGGGCCCCGCCCGGTCACGGCCTCGCCCTGCAGACCTCCCCGGAGTCCCGAGGGGCCACGCCCAGTCACAGTCTCGCCCTGCCATCCTCACCGGGCCCCCCCGGGGCTGGGCACACCCAGCCGCCCCTGACTGCACCCTCCGAGAGATGAGTTCTAGTATTTATCCACTAATAAAGAGGAGTATACACACAGAGTCACACACCCCGATTTAGGTTTTAAGGCAGCAGCATGTGTGTTTTCCTGACAGCCCAGCATCTCACAGCCCCCAGACCCCAGCTCCTGACACCCTTCCACAGGGCCCTGCTGGGCCTTCCAGACCGCAGGCCACGGGAGGAGGAAGCGGTCGCCCCTGGCAGCAGTGATGAGCTGCCCCCAGGGGACCCAGCCCCTCCCCCACAACAGGCTCTGCTCCTCACTGCCCCCCCCCCAGCTGGGGCTCCCTGACTCCACACTGCTCGGCGATCGGGCCGCCATGCTGCCATGCCTGGCGTCCTTAGAGCCAGAGTGCCTGAGGCCTAAGTGACATTTGATTTTAAAATAAAAAAAAAAGTGTTATTTTCTCCCCCAAAGAAAAGCTGAAGTTCATCGGCACCCTAGGTGGGCGAGGGTCTTGGTAAGGGGGCCCGTGCCGCAGCTTGGGAGGTGCGCTGCCCCCTCCACTGGCTCTCCATCAGCCGCTGTGTGTCCCCACACCAGTGCCCTGGTCCTTTGGGCTGCCTGCAGAGCCCTCAGTGTGGCCCGTGACCCCAGCCCAGCCCGCAGTGGGCCATGCACAGTCTTGTGATCCAGGAGGTAGGGATGTGTATGCAGAGGGGCAGCAGGCCGTGCTGTGGGTGTGGCACAGGAGAGCCGGTGCAGGAAGTGCAGAGGACACCCTGGCTTTGCAGGCCCAGCGTGTTCCCAGGAGCCCACCATGGTCTGCAGTGACCACGTCTGGGAGGGACCGGAGTCGCCGCCCCCTGGCGGAGGGGTGGTGTGGTGAGAGACAGGAGCCCTTGGCGTGGGTTTGGTGGAGGCAGGGCTCCCTTCTAGGGCCCTCCGGCCCCCAGAGCAGGGTGCTTCCTGCAGGCCACCCAGGACGTCACGCTTTGGCACTGTGTGTGAGAGTGTGTGCAGCTTGTCTCTGAACGCGCCACAAGACAGCGCTGTCCCAAGCGTTCAAGGTGGAGGAGCGTGGTCTGTGTGGGCTCCTGGAGCGGGAACAGGGGTGTACAGGATATGCCTGGGGGCCAAGATGAAAGCCGGGAACCAGCGTGCCAGGCAGGCCCAGCTTGTGCCCAACCTGCCGACCCAGGAAGGCCACCTCCCAGGGGCAGAGCCATTCCTAGGCGACCCTCGGTCCTGGAGCGAAGTTCTCACCCAGCACCCAGCCTGCCAGCACCAACCCTCACCCACCACCATGCGCCATGCTTCCCAACAGAATTTCTCCTCAAGCTCCAGCCCTGCCTGGCACCAGTCCACCTCTGCTTCCCCGTTTCCAGGCCCCATGCTGCGGGAGCCCTCTCACCCAGGCTGAGTACCTGCTATCTCAGAACTCCGTCCCCGCTGGCTGTCTCTGGGACAGACAGGCCCTGGGGCCTCTTCTCCCTGCGGCGTCTCTGCAACCTCTTCCCCCTGGCCTGGGACAGAGGGAGTGTGGCTGGCCATCCTGTCCCTGTCCGCTGGTGCTCACCCAGGCCAGGAGATGCCCCACGCATCAGCCACAGGCTCCAGCCTAAGTTGACCGAGGAGGGGCTGTAGAGCCCAGAGGTCTGGGGAGAGATGGGACCTGGCAGGATGCCGGCACGAAGAGTGAAGTTGTTGGACCTACTCCACAGGATGCCCCAGGGCCGTGCGGCCCGAGGCTGTGGGCTGGCCCTCCGTCCTCCAGCTGGGGGCAGGGCTACCTGGTGTGGCTTGTCCTTGCCTGCTTCCTGCGATGTGGCGCAGACACTACTGGGCTGCCCAGTCCACGCCTCTGCTCGTCAGATGGGATGCCCTGGCCCTTCCAGGGCTAGGGCTCGCCGGCCTCTTGGCTTCAAGCAAGATGAAAGCCAGTCCTTTCTGCCCTTAGCCTAATAAAATCAGTGTTCAGTCATATAATGCTGAGTCTGAGAAGATGTACAAAAATCGGAAAGTAGATTCTGATTGTAAAAAGCCCAGCCAGACATCTTCACAAAGAGGACCTGGTAGGGCCAGCTCTGCTTCCTCCCCTCATCCATCCCTCCTCTTCCCCTGGCAGAGACCATCTCAGACCTCAGGGCTCGCTGTGCCCACTCAACCCTTCAGAGCAGGTTCTCCTGCACCGCGGACCCGGCAAGCACAGCTGTAGTGAAAGCAGATGCCTGGGCAGTCCCCTGCCCTCAAAGCTGCTCAGGCCCTGGGCAGTGGAGGCTGGCCAGGCTGGCGTGGACATCTGGTGTGCCCGCCCCTCCCCCAGCGGGTGACCCTGAAGGGCACATGGACTGGAGGAGAGGGCTTTCTTCTCCAGGGAAGCCATCTACTGGCATCTCAGTAAATGACTGCTGGCTTTTAATTTAGAAAGTAAGGCACATGTGTGGCTCCCAGGGCAATTACAGGTGGATCTGAAGGTCAGAGGCCACGGGCCCCCTTGCTGCCTGGGATACCCCAGTAATGGCAGAAGGGTCCTCTGCTGATCTGGACTCTGCATGGCCAGTCTTCCCTGTGCCAGCAGGAAGCAGTCGCCCCAGTTCCTCCAAGGTAAGCACGGCAGGTTGGATGGGGCCAGTCCGCACAAGGCTGTCACTGACCGTGACCATGGCTGGGGATGGGCCTCACCCAAGCAGCTAGAGGGAATGACAGCATGCCGAGTGCCCAGCCCACAGTGGAGGGCCCCCACGAGCCGGCGCTCTTCAAGAACACACAGCTGACCTTCTCCGGACCCGAACCTGCTTGGCAGGCACCAGGCTATTCTGGGCCTTGTAGAATTCCAGGAGCCGGCACCAGAGCGGGCAGCAGCGCAGCAAGATGTGGTCTCCTGTGGGGAGAGTTGGGCAGTTGCCAGCTCCACCCCGAGTCTGCCCTTGGGCTACCCTCCAGAGCCCTAGCCCTTACCAATCAGGCACAGCCCCTCTTGAGCCCGAGTGAGGGCTACATTCACTTGATTGGGGTCCACGACAAAGCCCAGAAACTTCCTGAGCCAGCTCTTGGTCGGCCGCCCATCCACGTCACTCCTGGGACAGGTGCGGACGGTGCTCACCAACACGTAGCGCCACTCGCTCCCTGGGGGATTGAGCAGTGCGGTTTGCCGGGCCCACTGTGCCCACCTCCCCAGCCCATTGGGGAGGGGCCCCCGGTACCAGACTCACCCTGGCTCTTGGTGATGGAAGACACGGTCACCCCGCTGACCCCCTCTTTCTTGAGGGCCTGGCCGATCATCGCAGCCTGTGCGTTGTAGGGAGTAAGGATGGCGATGTCCTTGGGGTCCACTGTCCGGTCCAAGGTTAGCTGCTTGGTGATGCGGACCTGAGGGGGAGGGACCCTAGTGCGTCTTCTGCCCTGGGCAAAAGAGCCACACTTGATCCCTGAAACCAGCTCCCTCCAGGAAGTTCTCCTTCCTGCCCCCGAAGCCGCCACCTCCCGCCAGGAAACGCTCACCACCTCCGCCACCTCGTCTGGGTTGGCCCTGGAGTTCTCACTGCCTTCATCCGTGGACACCATCAGCACCTGCTCACGGCCCTGCAGGTGGCCAAAGATGACGGCGCAGCTCTCCCTGCCTGCGTGGCCAAGGAGGCTGGGTGGCCGCCGCAGGCTGGGACAGGTCTTCAGCCTCTGCCCGTAGAACTCTTTGGAGGGGAAGGTGCAGATGTCCTTGTGCATGCGGTACTGCGTGTCCAGCATAAAGGCGTCCCTGTGATACCGCTCGAAGAGGGACCGGTCCATCCCCAGGTTCCGCAGCTGCTCGCCCTTGACCACGGGCCGGAGCTGCTTATGGTCCCCAAGTAAAACCACCTGGAGGCACAGGCGGCCCTGCGTCTGACACCTCCAGACTCGAGGGCCATGTCCAGCCCCCAGCTGGCCACAGCCCTCACCCGGCACGCCCGCCGTGCCCGCCCACCGACCACCCCTTACCTTCTCAGCCTTCGAGAAGCGTACCAGAGGGATGAGCGTCTCTGGCTCGGTGGCCATGCCGGCCTCGTCGATGAGGATCTGCCCCACATGCAGGCCCTGTAGGCTGGCTGTCGCCGCGCAGCAACACGTGCACAGGAGGACCGAGTGCTGGTCCAGCTCAAACTTCCGGGCCTTGGTCAGGGTCTTCCGGTACCTGGGCAGGGCACCGCCCGTCACCGTGGCCCGCCCCTCCCACCAGCGGGCAGCCCCACAGCCCAGTCCTGGCACTTACAAGGCTAGGTCCTCCTTAGAGAAGACTTCCCCTTGCTGCAGCCGGGCATCAAATGCCCTGACCTCCTGTGCCCACGGGTTGGAGGGCTGTCGGATCCGGTGGTGCAGCGTGATGCTCCTAAGAGGAGAGAACTAGGGAATTGCTGCCCGAGGTGGGGCCGCCTGCACAGCAGGGCCCGCACCCCCACCCTGCACACGGGCCGCACCTCCACCCTACACACGGGCCGCACCTCCACCCCGCACACTGGCCACACCTCCACCCCGCACACGGGCCGCACCTCCACCCCACACACGGGCCCCACCTCCACCCTGCACACAGATCGCACCTCCACCCTGCACACGGGCCGCACCTCCACCCTGCACACAGATCGCACCTCCACCCCGCACACAGATCGCACCTCCACCCTGCACACGGGCTGCACCTCCACCCCGCACACAGATCGCACCTCCACCCTGCACACAGATCGCACCTCCACCCTGCACACGGGCCGCACCTCCACCCCGCACACGGGCCGCACCTCCACCCCGCACACGGGCCGCACCTCCACCCTGCACACGGGCCGCACCTCCACCCTGCACACCGGCCACACCTCCACCCCGCACACGGGCCGCACCTCCACCCTGCACACAGATCGCACCTCCACCCTGCACACCGGCCCCACCTCCACCCTGCACACAGATCGCACCTCCACCCTGCACACAGATCGCACCTCCACCCTGCACACGGGCCGCACCTCCACCCCGCACACGGGCCGCACCTCCACCCAGCACACGGGCCGCACCTCCACCCAGCACACGGGCCGCACCTCCACCCCGCACACGGGCCCCACCTCCACCCAGCACACCGGCCGCACCTCCACCCTGCACACGGGCCGCACCTCCACCTCCACCCCGCACACGGGCTGCACCTCCACCCCGCACACGGGCTGCACCTCCACCCTGCACACAGATCGCACCTCCACCCTGCACACGGGCCGCACCTCCACCCTGCACACAGATCGCACCTCCACCCCGCACACGGGCCCCACCTCCACCCTACACACGGGCCGCACCTCCACCCAGCACACGGGCCGCACCTCCACCCCGCACACGGGCCGCACCTCCACCCCGCACACGGATCGCACCTCCACCCTGCACACAGATCGTACCTCCACCCTGCACACGGGCCCCACCTCCACCCTGCACACAGATCGCACCTCCACCCTGCACACGGGCCGCACCTCCACCCCGCACACGGGCCGCACCTCCATCCCGCACACAGATCGCACCTCCACCCTGCACACAGATCACACCTCCACCCAGCACACGGGCCGCACCTCCACCCCGCACACAGATCGCACCTCCACCCCGCACACAGATCGCACCTCCACCCCGCACACAGATCGCACCTCCACCCCGCACACAGATCGCACCTCCACCCAGCACATGGGCCGCACCTCCACCCTGCACACGGGCCGCACCTCCACCCTGCACACAGATCGCACCTCCACCCAGCACATGGGCCGCACCTCCACCCTGCACACGGGCCGCACCTCCACCCTGCACACGGGCCGCACCTCCACCCTGCACACAGATCGCACCTCCACCCAGCACACGGGCCCCACCTCCACCCTGCACAAGGGCCGCACCTCCACCCAGCACACGGGCCGCACCTCCACCCCGCACACGGGCCGCACCTCCAACCTGCACACAGATCGCACCTCCACCCTGCACACGGGCCACACCTCCACCCTGCACACGGGCCGCACCTCCATCCTACACACGGGCCGCACCTTCACCCCGCACACAGATCGCACCTCCACCCTGCACACGGGCCGCACCTCCACCCCGCACACAGATCGCACCTCCACCCTGCACACGGGCCACACCTCCACCCAGCACACGGGCCGCACCTGAGCTTTGGGTTGGGCCGCACCTCCACCCCGCACACGGGCCGCACCTGAGCTTTGGGTTGGGCCTCCCCTCCTGAGAGGTCTTGCTGAGCAGGCCTCTGCCACCCACACCTGGCATCGGGAAGTCGACAGCCTCGTACTGCTCGCCGTACACACGCAGCGGCCTCAGCTCTTTCCTCTTACTCAGGAGCAGTCCTGGGGGTGCCATTCATCAGGGGCCACCTCCCGGTACCCAGGGCCCCGGCAGCCCCATGGGCCACCCTACGCACCTGCGAGGACGTCCACCGACTTGTTGGAAGGACCGCAGTATATGATGCGCGGCGCCCCCTGTGGCCCCTCCCCCTCGGGGCCGCCGCGGGGCGGTGTCTGCTCTTGGTTTGATTTGTGGAACCAGAATATGATGTGGAGGCCCACCACTGTCTTCCCTGTTCCTGTGTACAGAAAGAAGGGTGAGCCCAGGCCCCCCTGCTCCCCGTGCCCCTGCCGGGGCAGCCCCGGGCCCCTGAGCCAGGCCCTACCCGGAGGGCCCTGGATGACGGTGAACGGCCTCTGCAGAGCCCTCCTGACGGCTGTGTTCTGGCTGAGGTTCAGCTTGTGGCCTCCCCCGGGGATGTCATAGGCCAGCCGCTCCAGGAACCTGCTGGCCATCACTGGGCACAGGAGTGGGGGACACTGAGTGCTCGCAGCGGGGGGGGGGGTAAGAGGGAGGGGAGGGTGGGCAGGACCCGCCCTTACCATGGGGCTTCCGACCAGGCCAGAGGCAGGCCTGAGGGATGGGCTTGCCCAGGGCAATGCTGGTGACCAGCGGGGACGCATTCTTTAGCTGACGCACAGCTTCTTCCTTGCGGCTAGGGGTGAGGAGAACACAGAAAATCAACAGCCATAGGGGGTCGGGCAGTCACCCCATGTCTCAGGCCATGGAAGCCACTCACAGGTCCGGAAGTGGTTTGGATAACACCTCAACAGTGAACTGGGTGCTGGGTCTCTGCACCTCCTCTGGAATCTTCTCCATGGCCATGTGGTGGATGAAGAAGTGCACTTGCCCGGGGGCCTCCCGTCCGTCCTCAGAGTCCTCCTGGTTCCAGCTGTGGGCCAGCCCGTGAGCCGCCCAGGTGTAGGTGTCAGGGTCAATGCTCAGGCGGGGGCTGAGGCTGCTGGGCGCAGAGGCTGGGCAGGGAGGGGCCGGGAGCCCCTCCAGCCGGATGCAGAGGTAGCTGCAGCCAAAGTTAGTGTCGATGCCGTTCTCCCGGAGGAAGGCAGGGTCAAGGCTGAAGGCACCTTGCAGCTGCCCCGGTGGGGTCCCCTTTCTATCCCAGGAAATGTGCACGTCCTGCAGGGTGATGGAGTCACCGGCTGTGACCGCGTTGATGGCAGAGTCCAGGGAGCAGATCGGCCCCCATACCTGGGCATACTCATCTGCACTGCAGTACTGGTCCTGAGAGGCCCGGCACGGGTGGCCAGAGAAGCAGTCCCCAGGCCTCTCCGTGTGCTCCAGGCAGAGGCTGAAGCCAGGTGCTACTTTCCACAGCTGCAGGGTCGGCGCCAGGAAGCCCCGCTGCAGCCTGGCACCCAACTGCACCTGCAGAGTGTCCCCACTGCCCAGCTCGCGAGTCACCTCAGTGACGTTGCCACAGTGGCTGTGGCTCACCCGCCCCGTCTCGTGCGGCCAGGTCTTTGCGGCACCCTGGTCCTGGACCAGGGCGGCCAGCTCGGGCCACTGCTGCTCCTCCGCCAGCAGCAGCAGCTGCCGCCACAGCGTGGTATCGATGGCCTGGGTATGTGGGTCCCACAAGGGCCCAGGCTTTAAAGGGGGCGGTTTGGGTGTCTGCACTGAGTACATACGGAGCCGCCACACCAGCCGCAGGCCGGGCCTGCCCACCAGACTGTAGGGATGCTCGGCCAGCTGCAGGGAGCGGTAGCTGACGGGGTAGAAGTCAGGCAGGGTGTCCGGGTTGGCAGGGAAGAGCAGCTTGAAGCAGCGGGCCCCCGGTTCCATATCCACCACAAAGCCCAGCTTGTCTCGAGGCTGGGCCTGGAGCTGGGTAGCCAGGTACAGGCTGTAGGCCCGGCGCTGGTAGCTCTGGGCGCAAGCATACTGGCGGCTGAAGTCCTGGCACAGCCTGTCGATCTCCCTGGTGGAGTACGCAGAGCCCCCACAGTCCAGCGCCAGCAGAACCAGCCGCTGCAGTACCAAATCCAGGTACCTGCGGATGGGCGAAGTGGCCCAGGTGTACCATTCCACCTGCAGCGAGTAGTGGCCGGCCGGCTGCTGCCGGCCCCGGCCGGCACGGCAGAACACGGAGCGTCCCAGGGCCTTCCGGAAGTCCAGGCTGGCGCAAGCCAGCGAAGGGTGCATGTCGTCTGTGGCAATGAGGTCGACCATCTGGCCGTAGTCCTGGCTGTGTGCGGCTAGCTGGATGTTTTTCCAGAGAGAGGTCAAGAGGTGCAGCCGTGCGGCGGGGCTGCCACGGGGGCGCAGGTGGTGGCGGAGGTGCAGGGACAGGGGCACCAACTCTCTGTGCTTCTCACCCACGGCGTCCAGCTGGTGGCTGCTGGGTGTGGGCTGCCACCGCAGCGGCGTGACGGCGCCCGTGCGCTCGTGATCCACCAGGAATTTGGCCACCAGGCTGTTAAACTGGATCATATACTCTTGGACCATAATGTGGGCCGCGCGGAAGCCCAGCTCACTGTCCTCATCCAGCCGCTCATAGGGACAGGCAGCCTGCAGCCGGTGCCGGCGCAGTGCCTGGGAGAAGTAGCAGGCTGCCACCACACAGGCCCCCACGGAGTCCAGGCAGGCTGGCAGCGCTAGGCCAGCCCCTCGGTGCCCCTTGATCAGCATCTCGGCCTCCTCGTAGGACAGCTGGCAGTCAGAGCGGACGATGGAGGGTGCGAAGCGCAGGCGCTGGAGCTGGCCACTGCCCTTCTCCATGGTGAGGAAGAGGGAGATGGCGAGACGGTCCCGGCCCGGCAGGAGGCTTAGTGCATCCTGGCAGAGGCTGGCCGGCAGCATGAGCATGGGCTCGCGGTCAGGGGCGTAGAACACGGAGCCCTGCCGGCGCGCTTCCACATCCAGCGCTCCGTCCCTGGGCAGCAAGCTGGCCACGTCGGCGATGTGCACAGCCACCTCGCACCCAGTGCCCAGGTCCCGGACACTGAGGGCGTCGTCCAGGTTGCAGGCGCCCGTGGGGTCCACGGTGAAGGTAAGGAAGGAGCGGCAGTCCTCCCTGTGGCCCGCGGCCGTTCTGAGCTCAGAGTGGTATTTCTGCAGAGCCTTGGACACCGAGGTGTCATCTGGCGAGGGGGCCTTCAGACCGTGCTCCAGGTCAAGGGCTCGGAGGCCGTGTTCCCAGGTGCTGGCCTCGGGCAGCACCTCGAGCACGATGCCCAGCGGGTAGTAGAAACGCTCCCGCCACAGGACGATGCGCACCCAGAAGAGCCGGGCGCGCCAGGCGTTGGCCGCCAGGCTCTCATGCCTCACCCGCTGCACCCGACCCTGGAAGAGGCGGTGGATGGGGACCTGCCTCCGGTCCTTCAGCTCAGCCACGAAGATCTTCGTGACGGAACTGTTGATGGGGATCATGATGCGGGGGTCCCACTCGTCCATCCGACACACGAAGGCCAGCTCGCGCCTCCTCCTCTTCAGCACCCCTACCACACGGCCCTGCAGCCGCCCTGGGACGCTCCTGTCGCCCGCCACGGGGCCCAGCACCTGCACCAGCACCTCGTCCCCCGTGAAGGCCATGCCGCAGTTCAGGCGGCCCCTGACCTGGAGTGGGCTGGGACTGCCGTCGTCCAGGGGGATGGCGGACGCCCGCTCAAAGGTCTCCTGCAGGAAGGTGCAGCGGCGGTACAGCTCGGGCTCTGTGCGCAGCAGCTTCTGCAGAGTGGACTGAGGCAGGTTGGTGTACTGCTGGGCCTGCTGCGGGGACGCGGGCCTGGCCATGGTGTCCAGAAGCCCATCCTCCCCCACCGTGACCATCACCTGCCGGCTCTCATCCAGAAGCTCCTTCAGGATGGCATCGTCCGCGTTGAGCTCCCAGTCCAAGGGCCAGAAGTCAGACTCCAGGTCCTCAGACCACTGTCCTTCCAGGGCAGTTTCTTGGGCTGCTGGGCCTCGCGGGGCCACGCTCTCACCCGCGGCAGCCCCCACAGGTGTCCCCTCCTTCGGTGCCGGACCCACCCGTCTCCCTGCCACGGCCTCTGCCTCAGACGCAAGCCCCGGCAGGACCTTTGCCACAGCCGCCCTGTGCTCCGGGGAAGGGCCCCCCGCTCTCTCCGCCAGGACACCGTCCCTGACCACTCCAGCCCAAGACCTCTCTGTGGTCCACTGTTGCCTCTGGGCCACGCCCTGCTCAATCTGCCCCAGAGAAAGGCCTTCAGGGCAGACACTACGGTGTTCTATGCACTCTCGGATAAAGCTCTTCCAGAGCTTGCTACAGGCCCCAAAAGAACAGAGGGCCACGGCATCGCCCACAGCCACCAGCTGGGACTGGGCACGGGTCATGACTGTGTTCAGCACACGGGCGTCCGTGAAGAACTCCAAGGTCGGCGCCCCAGGGCTGAGCAGGCTGTGGCGGTTGTGGACGGTGCTCAGCACCACTACCCGGAACTCCCGCCCTGCAGGAGACGTGGGTCAGGCAGGTGACCAAGCTCTCCACCCCCAGCCCTGCCCCACCAATGCCAGACTGGGGGCTGGGCGTGTTCCCTGCCTACCGCTCACCCACCTGGCAGGATCTCAAAGTTGCCCACAGACACCTCTCCCAGGTTCCTTCTCCTGAGCTCCTGCCTCAATGCGCCGACCTGATGGAAGCCACAAAACACAGGGTGTTGGCTGCACCTCAGCCCAGACGCCCATGACCCCAGCGTGGTCCTGTGCAGCTCAGGGGGTGGACACGAGAGCCCCGGCCCCCAGAGGGCGGCTGGGCGGCCGGGCTCACCTGGGCCCCGTGAGAGACGGCACAGATGTGCCTCTGCTCGCGGCTGCCCCAGCAGGCCGGCCACGTATTGTAGGCCTCTTGCACCTTCTCCACCACCTGGACGACCTCGGCTGCGTTGAGCCACGAGGTCATGGACAGGTCCCGTTCGGGGCTGCCCGCGACGTGGCAGAACATGAGCGGGTAGTGCCGGGGGTGGCACGGGACCTTGCCACTGGCGTGGACAGGGGTGCCCTTGGCCACGTAGAAGTGGCGCGAGACAAAGCTGATGATGGCTGCCGAGGAGCGGTAGTTTTCATGGAAGATGATGCGGCTTTGCCGGGCGAGGTCGTGCGCCCCCTGCTGGTAGTGCAGGAAGAGGCGGTACAGGAGGGTGTGCACGGCTGCCTTGGTCCTGGCCACACTGAAAAGCCGGGGTGTGACCTGCATGTGGTCCCCTGCCAGCACCACACGGGTACGGGGCGAGGCGTAGGCCAACGGGATGAGGGCCTCACACTCCAGCATCTGCGCGGCCTCGTCGATGAGGATGTGGGAGAAGAAGCCCACGGGCACCCGGAGCTCCCGGGCCTGGGAGCTGGTGGTGACCACCAGGCGGCGCTGGGCCAGCTCCGCCCCCGTGGGCAGGCGGAAGGCCCGGCCGTCCGGGGTCAGACAGCAGTACTTCAGCGTGGCAGGGTCGGTCTGGTTTGGTGGGCGGTCTGTGTACATCACGCGCAGTGGAGCCGCCTCCGGGTGGCCGGCACTGGCAAAGCCGTGGAAGTACTCCCGAATGTAGATGTCGGCCGCACTGTGGGAAGAATGGGCGTGTGAGAGAAGAGTGAGGGTGCGCTGCCCCCTCTGCACTGGGGGGGAGGGGTGTGCTGCCCCCTCTGCACTGGGGGGGAGGGGTGTGCTGCCTGCTCCGCACTGGGGGGAGGGGTGTGCGCTGCCCCCTCTGCACTGGGGGGAGGGGTGTGTGGTGCCCGCTCTGCACTGGGGGGAGGGGTGTGTGCTGCCCCCTCCGCACTGGGGGGGAGGGGTGTGTGCTGCCCCCTCTGCACTGGGGGGAGGGGTGTGCGCTGCCCCCTCCGCACTGGGGGGAGGGGTGTGTGCTGCCCCCTCTGCACTGGGGGGGAGGGGTGTGTGCTGCCCCCTCTGCACTGGGGGGAGGGGTGTGTGCTGCCCCCTCTGCACTGGGGGGAGGGGTGTGTGCTGCCCCCTCTGCACTGGGGGGGAGGGGTGTGTGGTGCCCTCTCCTCACTGGGGGGAGGGGTGTGTGGTGCCCTCTCCTCACTGGAGGGGGGAGGGGTGTGTGGTGCCC